AGTAGTAGTAGTAGGAGTAGTAGTAGTAGGAGTAGTAGTAGTAGGAGTAGTAGTAGTAGGAGTAGTAGTAGTAGGAGTAATGTAAAAGTAGTAAAAGTAATGCAAAAGTAGTAAAAGTAATGTAAATGTAGTAAAATTAGTGGTAGTAGTAAAAGCAGTGTAATAATACTAATAATATTAGCATTAAAAATAGTGTAATTAGTAATAGTAATAGTGAAATATTACTAGTATAGTAGTAGTAGTAGTAGTATAGTATTAGGAGTAGTAAAATTGTAGTGATATAGCAATAGTAGTAGTAGTAGTAGTATAATAGTAGTATAGTAGTAGGAGTAATAAAATAGTAGTGGTATAGCAATAGTAGTAGTAGTAGTAGTAAAATAGTAGTAGTAACAATAAAAATAGTACATATTTCAGTTCGTTTTCCTTAACAAGAATATACATACATACATATATAATTGCCACACCTCCGCCTGCCTGTTACATACCTTTTGAGCTAAACCAATATACCTTGATTTCCCATTTTTAATAAGTTCAGGCCATACTCAATGAAAAAATTTTATTTAATATAAATATGTAAAGCAATTAAGATTTCATTAATATACATATATACTAATATATGTACGTATATATAGAATTGTCACGCGTTGTTCAGATGATATAATAAATATTTCGCATTATTAAATAATTCATTTTATTTGCTTTCACATATTTATTAAATTCAATGAGCACACAAATTCCCAAAAAGAACGAGCAGCGAAATGAATGCAAGCATTTCATATATTTATCGAACTGCGAACATGCTAAAAATGCATTGGTGCAAATGCCAAATGCTCATCATAGCGCGAATAGACTAATTAAATAATTGACAGGCAGCTAAAATTAATTCGATCGCGCAAAATATAAAAAATAATTGCCAGCTGTTTTTCGCATTCGGTAAAAAAAAAAATAAAGCAACAGCAATGAAAACAGAAAGGAAAATTAAGAGAAAGCAAAATTTATTTGTTTACTTGCGAAAATCTCGCCTGTTTCTGGGCTTTAGTCAGTAGACGAAAATAATAATGCCCGCTGACACGTCATCTAAGTGTATCTATTTATCATTATATCTGTGTATATATTCTGTATGATTTTGCAGCATTGTTGCAGTTGCCGCCGACGTTGGCACCACACCGCCCCACCGCTCAGCGCAATACATTGACGTGACGTAAATGAATGAGCCCGGCGATCAACCATTGACACTCAGTAGCACGCCGGACAATAGGCCGCCCTGCAGCATTATCTCCATAATACCAAACATAGGGATGTCATCATGCCGTGGTCGGGCCGAGGCATTCGCGCGCAGTTTGTCCTCAAAGCTGCGCACCTTGGGATCACAGGTGAGTTGGCAATAGCTAATGTGTAGGTTATATAAGACTCTGTGAAGGATAAATGTAGGAAATCTAGATTTGATAGGGATCACTTAAGGATATATGTAAGCTATACTCGATTATGATATACATATATAGAATATAAATTAATATAAGTGCTATGAGAGTCTTTGTCATTATCATTATTATTATTATCAATATCGTTTAAATTATGATCATTAATATTATCTTTATATTGTAATGCTTACATGCTTAATGCTTAACTACACGAAAATACATTATCCTAAACATGGAGATTAGCATGATCATGATTATTGACGCTATTACTACGATTAAAATAATGATTATCATTATCTTTAGCACTTTTATTTCCCATTGGCATTGGTATTATCATTATCCTTATCATATTGGCCTTAATATTATCATTCTCTTTAGTATTAGCATTATTATAATTACATTTCCATTCTGATTCTATCATTACCATACAATAAATAATTATTATTTTTCTCATTAACATTATCACAATCCATTGGTATTACCATTTCCATTATCATTAAGGCTAACGAGTGCCAACATTATTATGAATAGTCTAAGGGAATTAAGCTCATTCCTTATTAAGACAGACTAACAGATTATCCCAGCCCTGAGCCTGCTCTTAAACCTACTTAGACCCTACTCTCTATAGACTAAAACTCCACAAAATTCATTCGATCCAAGCAATCCCATTAGTATCAAGCCTTAGCTCAGCTCAGTTCGAACCAAACAGATCTCCAGTAAATTTATCCAAATTTCGTACAAGCTACATCATATTCATAGACCTGCTCTCATAACTTTGAAAATGGATTTACTGCGCAAGGTCGCACCCGAAATCAATTCGATTGCCGTGATGGCAATGAGCGCATATCGCGTGATGACACTGAGCGAATATCGCGGCCGATATGTGATACTGCTCTTTTATCCGGCGAACTTCTCGTTCGTCTGCCCAACGGAGCTGCATGCGTTCAGCGATCGGGCCCAGGAGTTCCGCATGGTGGGCTGTGAGGTGATTGCCTGCTCGACGGACAGTCATTTCGCTCACTGCGCCTGGATGATGCAGCCGCGCAAGGCGGGCGGCCTCGGCGAAATCGATATTCCACTGTGGGCCGACAAGTCGATGAAGATTGCTCGCGACTACCAGATGCTGGACGAGGCGACGGGTCTGGCCAATCGGGGCATGTTCATCATCGATCGTGTCGGCCTCGTGCGGCATATCTCGGTTAATGACAATGGCGTCGGACGCAGTGTCGAGGAGGCGCTGCGCCTCGTCCAGGCCTTTCAGTACACCGATGAGTTTGGCGAGGTTTGCCCAGTTAATTGGAAGCCCGGCTCCAGGACCATGAAACCGGATATGGCTGGCAAAGAAGATTACTTCAAAAATGCCATCTGAAACTGAATATATTCCCCAATTTGATACACGAAGGAGTGCAAGAATATGTTTTATACTTAATACAGTTCTTTAGACAGTGTTAATAAATGCGAAAAATTAGTTAGGTTTTTTATTAATGGCATGTGGAATGCCAACACCACTTTTTAATCATTAACATTTTACTAATAATATTTAAATTTGTTTATAAGATATTTTATTTATTCTTACTTAATTTATTTATATTAATTTTTGTTTTATTCAAATTCGAATTTTTTCATTAAAAATAGTATCGTAATATTTACATTGTAGCATAAATGTTGTTGTAGGCAAATATTTATTTTTATTTCATTTATTTATCTTTTTTATTCATTTTTTTTTATTCAAATTCAAATTTTTTTAATTAAAAATGGTAAATTAATGTTTACATTTTAATATAAATATTTTTGTAAGCAGATTCATTTATTTTAATTAAAATTTAGTTTAATGTTTATTTTTATTTAAGATTTAAAATTTTTATATTTATGTATATTAATATTTATATTTGCATTATAATTTAAGAACAGGGTATTTTTATCAACACTAGTTGCAGTTATAGCTTAACTAAATTCGAAGCTTTAATTTTCTTGATAATTAATCAGAGTTCTCTTCTGATCCATCTCTTTTTTTCTGCTGCAGACGAACGAGGAGGGCGTCGCCAATGCAGAGGATGAGCCCATTATAAATGGCAGCAATACGAATACCTGGGTCAGTGCGCACGAATCGGAACAGACTGTCACCGATCTGCAGCCACTGCGCCAAGAGTCGGACTCGTTCTTCGACTTTGACTGCGAGCTGGAATCGCCAGGCAGCCCAGCGGATGAGTGCGAGTACCTGCGTCTCATAGAAACCGCCTCGAATACACCACACAACTCAACCGCCGAGTCGGGCTATGCGTGCGCCTCGGCGGCCAGCAGTCACAGCAGCACAGATGGGCCCTACTTCGATGCCGCCACCGCCACCGGCGCCAGCACCAGCAGCAGCAGCAACACCGGCACCGGGCCACAGGAGCTGCAGCCGACACAGACAGAGCGCGGCAAAGTGCCCGGCAGTGGAGCGGAGCAGCACAATGAGTATGTGAACACATTGCAGTTGAATGGAGCGCATGAGACATGGACAAATGGAAGTCAGCAACAGCAGAAGGAGGGAGAGCAGCAGCAGCAGCAGCAGCAACAGCAAAAGGAACAGGTGAACAAAGAGCAGGAGCAGGAGAAGGCACAGTCACAGGCAAGAGAATCTGAAGATGAGACGCAGCTGCAGGCGCAAATCCTGAGCGAGCTGCAGCTGCACAGCGACAGCATCAAGAGTCCGGACAATGGCTTCAGTGAGGAGCAAGTGGAAGAGCCGACGCTGGTCAATGGCTATGTGGAGGCGCCAGAGGAGCAAAGAGTAGAGCAAGAGCAGAAACCTCCAGCAAGCAAAGTGGGGGAGGAACAGAAAACACCCGACAGCGGCACAGATGAGGTGGACAAATGCAGCGAGAGCGGCAGCAGCAATCTGACTGTGAACGTGGAGCAGGCGCAGCAGGAGGCCGAGAAGGCCGAGGCGGAGAAGTCGAGCCACAGCCATGGCCATGGCATCGACACCACAGACGACGAGGACGACTGCCGGCCGCAGCGTGTGCGACGCTGCTCCTCGCTGAAGACGGGCAAGACGCCGCCGGGCACGCCGGGCCGCAAGAAGATCGTGCGCTTCGCCGATGTGCTCGGCCTGGATCTGGCGGACGTGAAAACGTTCATGGACGAGATACCCACAATACCAAAGTCAGCGTTCGAGGATTTGGAAATACTGGACATTGAGCCGCCGCTGCAGCTGGGGCCCAAGTCCGACAAGATATTGATGCCGCTGTTCCAGCAGCCGGGCGGCCTGCCCACATTCCTCGATGCGGTGCGCGAGAAGCAGGTGTCGCTGGAGAATGCCGCTGTCACCGACAACATCAATCAGACAATCGCCGGCACGGTGCGGGTGCGCAACCTGGACTTTCACAAGTCCGTGCACATACGCTACTCGCTGGACGGCTGGCGCAGCTTCGCCGATCTGCAGGCCAACTACGTGGAGAACTCCTGCGACGGCTTCTCCGATAAGTTTACGTTTGTGCTGTTCGGGAACTCGCTGCATGTGGGGCAACGGCTGGAGTTCGCCGTGCGCTTTCAGTGCAAGGGCCAACAGTTTTGGGATAATAATTATGGCGCCAACTACTGCTTCCAGTGCTTGCCCAGCTCGACGCACACGGCATCGCCGGCGTCTGTGGCGAATGGCGCCGTGCCGCCGCTTCATGGCAGCAATTTGGTCGGCCTGCTAAGCCCCACGGTGGGCGATGCCTGGTGCAGTTCGTTCTACTAAGCTAAAGCTCGTCTAGTTAGTAGCAGTTAGCGGGGGGCACTCCGAGGAGGCAGTAGACGACGCGGACGCGGGTCGTGTTGCAGTCAATGTCCGGCAGAGGCGCAGCGCCGTCAATGCCCGTGCGGACATCAGCAATTGGTGACGGTGTTGACGGCATGTGCCACGGGCGTCTGTCACACCCAGAGATCAGAGATCATAAAACTACATACATACATATATAGAGCAACAGGTGCAATCCCCAAATCCTACCCTCGCACAAACACACACAGACATACACGGACATACACAGACACCCTCTCTCTAATTTTCTCTCTCTCTCTAACTCTTGTACGTAGGGCAAATGTTTATATTTTTATAGAGTAAAGTTGAAGCAACAGACGGAGCTGATAATCAGGCGAAATCAAGCTAATGAGATAAGATCGGCCCGATCGGCTGACGAATAGATGAATAAACAGAGCCAGCAAAGTGAAGAATGAATCCCAATGATAGTTATTAGTCTTACGTTATAAGAAGAAGAGCAAGTGATAACTAATGATGATGAATAATGAATGATAATGATGATGATGATGATGATCAATGATGAACAGTTTTCAATGTCTACAACTATTTTCATTTCTATAATTCTCCTTATATATACATATATTATTATTAAATTTTATGCATTGTTCAGCCATGTGTACGGGGCGCTTAGGTACAGTAGCTCCTCGCTTCAGTTACCACTGTTACTACAGCCGAAATAACAAAGAAACTTTTATTTTCTAGTCAATTCAAGTTTACCATAAGACTTCAAGCGGGCTACGACACACCCTAGCCAATTACTACTGCAAGGCGGAGCCAAAAGCCTTGGCTGAATCTCTTGCCAAATGAAAGAAAAGAAACGCAAAACAAAGAACTCGATAGAAAATGTGCCAACCGATGCGCATTTAACTCCAAGACGCCAAAATGCTTGTTTGCATCTGGGCTCGTCTGTGAGAGATAATTACAGAATTTCCTAGCAGCATCCGCCCATCACCCTCCCCAACCTCCCTCGATAACCCCTTTGCCACATGCTGAACAATCGTTTTTCGCTATGCCAAAATTATAATTATTAAATGTTTTTGTTTTCTGTTTTTGTTTTATTTGTACTTTTTACTTTTATTTTAAATTTAGTTCGACTTTATTTTACGATTTCGATGTTTTTTATGTATAATATTATAAACACACACACACACACAAGCATATATATAAACGATATACATACAACCAAAAAAAAAAATATATATATATAAATATATATAAAATATACGAAATAAAAAAATTATTATAAATTGTAGTTAAATTTTTTTGTGGCTTGTTTTCGTTCATTAACTTTTAAGTTTAAGAATGAGGTTCGGTTCATCTCACCCCTAGAGAGTTATCATAGAACACGTTACATAATTGTCCAACACCAATCCCACACACACACACACACATATATATTATATATCAGGGATAACCAAGAACCTAATACAAATAGTTAATTGTTAAAAGAAATATATAAATGAATAACGAAAACAAAACGCAGCTACCTCAACGTTTTCAATTGGGAAAACTACGTAAAAGTTAATGAAGCAAATCTATAATAATGTTAAATATGTTTATTGCATAGCAAACATGTAAAGAAACCAACCCAATAAAAAAAAAACTAACTTTAAAAGTTACAAAAATATTTATACAAAAGGCGACAGAAAAAACTATGAATGTGAAACGAAAATTCACACAAACTTTTAGAACGCCCCACAGCAATGGCCCCCCATTAACAATTAGACTGAAGCGTGAGTATAATGACAGCCAGCCCAAAAATAATTTAAATGTTATACACACACACACACACACATACATATATATATATTGTACATGTGTGACTGCTTTAAAAACAAACTTGCCTAGATAAATAGTTCCACAGAACATTGTCTTCAAGGTACAAATTGTTATTAATTAGTTTGTCTAGTGCGCGGGGCTTCAATGTCAAAACTAAAGATTTAATAAATAAATACTCTTTACCCAGTAAAATGTTGTATTTTCCTTACGTTTTAAACGAAATGTGTAACGGACTTTTTTCAAAAGCGAAAGTTCACAAACAAATTTCCTTTAGCTGGCGTTGCCACCCAGCCAGACATGCGCACCAGCAGACAACTGCCTTGACTGCTGTCAAAAGCTCAATGCTATGACGATTATTTGGACTCTCGTACAAATCAGCTTTGGGTTTTTATTATAAAAAAACAGTTTTAAATACAAATTTGAATTGAAATATATTGTATTAATATTTATACATATATGCAGCACATTTATATTGAAAATAAAAATATTTTAATATATTTTCAGTATATGGCAAATTATATACACTGCATATTCCATATACACACGAGCTCTAGCTAAATTCTGCCTTATGTATAAACGAATTGCACTTGAAATCAAGCGTAAATGCAGGCGACAGCATTATTTCAGATCTCAGTAGATTTCTGCTGCCATTAGCACACTTCATCTTCGACTGCAGGCTCGTCGTCCTCCTGCTGCGAGACGCTGACCTCAGCGAAATCCTCCTCCACGCTGTCCACAAAGCTGGAGACTCTGCAAGCAATTAAGCAAACACTTTAAGTGAGCAACAACAGTTTGTTGCATGTGGCATGTGGCATGCGTTACTTCTCGAAATCGCACTGCGGCAACAGACCCACGTCCTTGAGCTGACCAACGCCTCCGCCGAACCTTAGAAGCGTGCAGAGACGCAGCAACGCCAGCAGGAGGAGAAACATGCCAGCCACGTAGCTCAGCCAGAGATTGTGGGGAAAGAGTATCAGTGCCACGCCCATGGCGACATAAATGGGCGCCGGCCGCCAGCTGCCCAGCCACGCTGACAGACGCCAGCAGTCCAGGCAGCAGGCGTGCCTCTGGTAATTATCACTGAAAATTAAAAATAAATAAATACATATGCGCGCCAAGCATTAAATTTATGACCTCTTCCCCCCGTTCTTCCGGTCGAGCTTCATCGGGAAACGACCTTCTGCCACTCCCCCGTACTTACTCGCCACATTGTAGCTGCAGGAATATGTTTATCAGCCATTTTATCTCAATGAACAGCACCAGCAGAGCTGAAAAACTGCCCAAACATTAAAATTTTTATGATCCGGCGACAGAGCAGAGACTGCTCACACTCACAGTATATAGAGGCCCGCCTGATAGCCATGCATGTAGACATCGACGCCCACTCCGCAGATAACTGAAATGAAAAATGACCACAAATTGGCTGCTGGGTGCTCAAGAAATTGGCTATTGGCTATTGCCAATCGGAGGTGGAGGTGCCGATGGAGTTGGGTTCTATTATGGGCATTTCGTGCTACAGAATATGCGTTTGGAAACAATAGAGAACTGTGTCTACGCAAATAACATTTGCTTGGTGGCCATAAAATATGGTAAAACGCAAATATGTAATCTAAGTCACATTGATGAGACAATGGAAATGTGCGAGGGCTGAGACAAGGGTTTTGACAAGGCTAACAAAGAGATGAACATATGAAATTTGATATTTTCAAGAGTTCCTTTGCCTTACAAACTGCAAGCATACCAGAATTTAATTTACCATAGAAAAAGGGCAGTAAAGTCTGAGTCGTAAAAAATTTAAGGTTACACAAAAAATAAAATATAAAAATAAAATAAAATATATAAATTTATATGTTTATGAATACAGACTTAAATAGAAATTAAAATGGGACATTAAGCAACATAAATAACATAATAAATAATTATAATAAGAAGAAAATAAAATATAATTTAATTAAATAAAATATAAACGAAAATTTGGAAAATAAAAAATTGTTAAATAAATTTTAACAATAATATTTATTAACAAAAAAAATAAAATAAATAAATAAATATATAAATAAATAACAAAATAATGAATAAAGGAAAATTTAAAAAATTGTACTCCATTTAAAGTTTTTTTTTTAAATTTAGATTAATTTTTATTTATTTCGATTTAGAGCAAACTAAATAACATAATAATTAATTTTAATAATAAGGAAATAAAATATAACTTAATTAAAAAAATATGAACAAAAAATTTAATAACAAAATAATGCACAAAGGAAAATTTTAAATGTTGTACTTCAGATAGAGTTTTATTTTAAATTTAGATTAGGAATTGGAAGTCAAAATCTTAGTTTTTATTTATTCCGATATAGAAAAAATATATAAAAATTATATAATTATATATATATTATACAATGAACAAAGTTGTTAAAATAAAAATGTTACAGAAAGAAATAAATCTAAATATTTATCCCAATATATATTTTCCTTTTACTTTATTAAATCTGCTGCCCTTACTCAGAACTTACCAAACTACCCACTTCCACAATAATATATACATATGTACATATACATATTCACATTTATTATTAATATATTACATTCTAAGCATATTATGCCTATCAGCGGTTACTTTCCCTCTGTCTAAATTATGACTCAACAAAAGAAGAGCAACAACAACAACGACAACAACAATAAATTCAGCAAGAAGAAGCACGACAAATGCGAAAATCTACTGAAAATTCAATCTAATTAAGTTGTTATTGTATGCGCGGGGAAAACAAATTCGATTGGACTGCAGATAAAAAGGCAAATGAGATTTGCCCACTCGCACAGTCCGCGGTCCACAATCCACAAGCCAAAAAGCAAAGCCAAACCAATTACATTAAACGCTTTGAGAGCATCAACTAGAGCAAAAAAAGAAAGAAAGACAACAACAAAAGACTGAATAGAGAGTCGATGAAACGTGCGTCTATAGAAAATCAAATAAAAACTAGGCAAAAATTATGCTCAGCTCCCGGGGCCGATTAACTGGAGCTGGGGACAGTCAGCTAAAGCTAAAGCTATACACACATATATGTACATATATATATACACATATCCCTTTTTTTGTGATTTGAAGGGGGCCAAGCGACTGGCGCCAGAAAGCGAGCAACAACAACAACAAGTGCCGTGCATAGGGA